ATAGATAGATAGATAGATAGATAGATAGATAGGATAGATAGATGATAGATAGATAGATAGATAGATAGATAGATAGATAGATAGATAGATAGATAGATAGAGATAGATATAGATAGATAGATAGATAGATAGATAGATAGATAGAGTAATTGATATTTCCAATTTCCTATTCCTGGACTGCACCTCCCAGCAATCCTCCAGATAGATAAGATAGATAGATAGATAGATAGATAGATGATAGATAGATAGATAGATAGATAGATAGATAGATAGATAGATAGATAGATAGATAGATAGATAGATAGATAGATAGAAAAATAGACAGACAGATAGACAGATAGAAGGATAGGTCGTTAGAGAAATAGATAGATAGATAGGAAGACAGATAGATAGACAAATAGATAAAGTAGATCGATAGATAGATAGACAGAGAAATATAGATAGATAATAGATAGAAAAATAGACAAATAGATAGACGGAAGGATAGATAGATCAATAGACAGACAGACAGATAGAAGGATAGATAGATAGATAGAGATAGAAAGATAGAAAAATAGACAGACAAATAGACACAGGTAGAAGGATAGATAAATAGATAGACAGAAAAATATAGATAGATAAATAGAAAGATAGAAAAATATACAGACACTTAGATAGACAGACAGATAGACAGACGGATTGATTGATTGATTGATAGGATACATAGATAGATAAATATAGATAGAAAAATAGGCAGACAGAAAGATAGAAAGAAAAAGATAGATACATAGAAAAATAGACAGATGGCTAGATAGATAGAAGGATGGATAGAAAAATACAGAGAGACAGATGCATAGAAGGATAGATAGATAGCTGGATGGATAGATAGATAGATAGATAGATAGATAGATAGATAGAAAGATAGATAGAAAGATAGATAGAAAGCTGGATGAATAGATACACACAAGGCCATAACCAGAAAATATTTCGAGGGGTGGGGAATTGAGAATTTTTCTTTAGCGAATCATGAAGAGTAGTTCCATAACATGAAATAATTTAAATAGTATGGTTCATTCTATATTTTATCTAGACTTTATTAAATCCATGTTCTGGTCTCCTTCATTGGGGGGGGGTGTGTGTGTGTGTGTGTGTGTGTGTGTGTGAAAATTCCTCCCATGCCTTAGGCTTTGCCTGCCAGCTCTGGGTGGGCTAACTGGGTTGCTTCCACTATATCAGTAATGACTGTGAATAAAGGGTCAAAATGTGCTAGAGAGAGTGCTTTATTGGTTAATTTTTGCATCTCATAGACTGAGCAGGGGGATTGGGCTCACCAGTTAAAATCGACTGGGAGGCGACTGGGAAGCAAAGCTTTGTCCTGTTGTTTTCTCCCTCCCAAGCCCTTTCCGACCCTTTGATCCAGACCCACAGAGAGAGAGAGAGAGAGAGAGAGATTTCCTAAACTCCAATACAGTTCCAAAAACTGATGTTCAAGAAGTCTCCAATCCCTTTCCTCTCTTTTCTTGGGCTCCTTCTCCAAAGCCAGTTCCTTTCAGAGAAACCAAGCCCGGAAAGATCTGTCTGTCTGTCTATCCATCTTCCTATCTGTCTGTCTGTCTGTCTGTCTGTCTGTCTATCTATCTATCTATCTATCTATCTATCTATCTATCTATCTATCTATCTATCTATCTATCTTCCTATCTATTCTTCTATCAGGGTTTGGGGTCGGTGAGCTGTGGAGAGAAAGAGGGACACCTCTCCAAATGCGTAAAAAGGAATCGCATTATATTCCTGCGTCAAAACAAAAAGCATCGAAGTATATCCACGCTAGATAGATAGATAGATAGAGTGAGTTTTTGGAGAGGTCTTTGTTTACAATATATATATATATATAAATGCTAAAAGTGTGTCAAAGGAAGAAAGTTCTTCTGGTGCGCCAAAGTGGAATGGAAACTCCACTTCTCCCAAAGGAAAGCAGCAGCCTGGAGTTAAGAGTTCTTGGCTCTCTTTTTTTTGGGGGGGGGGGAATCTATCTGTCTATCTATCTGTCTGTCTGTCTGTCTGTCTGTCTGTCTGTCTGTCTGTCTATCTATCTATCTATCTATCTATCTATCGAAGAGCCAAAAACTCAAAGCTCACCTGTTTGCCTTTCTTTGGGAATAAGGGAAGCTTTTGTGAAACTTGGACGCAC